AACTACAATACTGTACTTTAAATAGGTACTTTCTACGTCAAATGTGTGAGAAGGTCACTCTGACCATCGAGGCTGAGACGATTTCGCCCAAAAACCTTGAATCTATTAAATTTAAATGTTCTTAACAAACACTTAACATATAACCCCTTATATATAACCTAACCCCTTTTTCACAATTACAAATAATAAATGGAGGGCTATGCTTACTGAACATCTCCTTGACGTATTTGGTCACAAATTTGCAGGATAACCGGCCAGTCTGGCTCCAGACGCAGGTGACTAGTGGCTTTGTCTGAAAAAATCAAACATTTCATGATTCCAGAAGGTTTGAATGTTAACTGAATGAAACTTAAGTTCACACGTATCACACACTTACACGCACAACAACCTTGAATGTTCTAAACAAACTATAACCGAGCACTTTTTACACTTTGAATTTATGTTCTTTGATAACAGTACACTGTATAGGGCCTACTGAATTTTTCTAAATAGGCCTACATTAACTTAGTTTTGTTGAGAACCTAAGTAACCTGTTGCCAAAATCAGTAGGCCTAACAACTATTGTTAAGTTAGCATTATCTGACCCCTCTTATTCGTGTATACCTACTCAATGGTTAAATGTAACACTCCTAGGATTAAACGAAAATATTCATGTGGGATGAAATGGGATTTTTCATTAATCAAAAGTGGGATAACTTATAACGAGATTTTCTTGACCAATTTTGTTTTGGTTGTGGGTATGGATACACTGGGATGGAACCTTGCACCATCTGTAAGCCTAATGCATTGTCCATGGCCATATTGTAATAATCTATTGCTTGATTGCCAGAAGAGCTAACATTCATTAACTAAGTATAAATAAGTAGCTAGCAACTGTGACAATTGACAAATCTAGTCCAAAAAAATATTTACAATATGGCATGGTTTACTGCTTCACAAAAGGGTCCATAAATGTTTGTATGGTCAACTTGAATTGAACCAAAAGTAAAGCCATGACCATAACCTAAATCAAGAAATATTACCAAGTAGCTTGTCAAAGCTTGATGTTGAGCGAAACATTGTAATTCTTGCCAAGCACTAGGATCCAAGAAAATAATGAGCAATTTAAAAGTTTATGTTTGTTGAGCACACTTAATACTGATATCACGAAAACTAGTTTGACATTATTTATCTCGCAAGTAGTTATGAATCAGAGACAGACTGACAGACATCTCCAGCTGTCGGTCGGTTTGTGAATCGTGATGACGATGACGTTGGGAAAGGGAAAAAGGAAATATAACAAACTAGAAACGATCCGATACTATCGACATTAATATTTTACTCGTATCGACAGTATCATAGATTATATGGAAAATGTATAATAAATGTATAAAATGATAATAAGGTTTAGATGTAATTAAATGAAAAAGTAATGGATCAAATTAGAATATAACAGCATTTACATCACTAAATGAATCAGTAAGTAATATCGTTAATATCATAGATAAAACATACTCATACTGCCAATATACTAGACTTGTGCTTAAATTCAAGCTTCCTCTCTCACCTCTAATTCCAAACTCAACTGTTTTGCTGATGTACAACAGCATAGCTATCATATATTCACACTGTTTTGTGGATGCTATAATGACGAAGACAATCAAGGAAAGTCCAGGGGTTAAAGATGGATACTGCACACAGGTTTGGATTGAAATGCAATTAAATTAAAATGCTTTTTTATGGAGGCAAACTTAGGACATCCTGGTCCTTTCTTACAGTTTTATCTATAGTACCTCTAACCATCATGGCCACATTTAACTCCAGGCCGCGGCCTGGTAGAATAATTGGCAACGTTGCAAGTGGTGTTGCCTAGCGCCAGACGTCCCATAAGATAACATGGTAGACAGGTGACATCAGCTCATTAATTCGAGTATTATTTGTTTAAATTTATGAACATAAATGCATTAAAAGATTGAAAATAAAACATATAGAATTAAAAAGCAAAACAATATTTAAATTGAAAATATAATTTTGTATATTTAAAGTGGAGTAAATATTTTCATAGCTCAGTAACCAAGCTTTCATATTATTAAAAAAAATACATAAATACCATTAGCTGCCTCCAAAACAAAACAGCTGTTACAACCCTACTTGCGATGTTGCCACTTCGAAGGCCGCGGCCTGGACTTAAAGGTGGCCGTGCTCTAACTCTAAGAAAGACAGTTACACATGTCTACAAAGTTACTGTAAGAAATGAAACGAATGAAATTAAATAAAATGAAACCATATAGAGCTTCATTTTCATTAAAACGATGCATTTACAAAAAAATAAGATTTTTTCCATAAACACCTCTTCATTATACAAATAAAATATCTACATGCAAACCTTGAAACACACTAACAGTTTTGACTATCAATACAACTTCTGTATCCAATCAAGGCCTCACTAGAAAAAAGGTTTTTCTAGTGGGGCCTTGATCCAATAGTCAATGCTAACACACTTACTACTGTAAGAAACATATTATGTATTCTGAGGGCGGAATTTGTCTTTGGTTATAAAAACACTTCTTGGTCCCAGGTAAGATTGGTAAGAACACTATTTAAAATAAAGGGCTCTGTGTAACCAGAGCATCATCTGTACCCAGACAGCACACTTTCTCCTCAGGACATCCCACGGATATTGCGACAGGATATGCAAGATATCCCATAGTGGTCCTATGGGCAACTTGGGATATCACAGGATATCCACAGGAATGCCTAATGTCCCCGCCCGGGGATGTCCTACGGATAAGCTCACACGCATATCCGTGGGACATCCGAGGTCATCCCAGGGTAGTCCTCAGGACATTCTCAGGACATATGGGACTACTATGGGATGTCCCTGGGATAAAGTGTGGTCTGGGCCTGAACATAAAAAACACAAAATAATATAGATTTAGTATGAGAAGCTTAATTATAAGTTTAGTAAATTGATTAAATAGTTAATAAACACAAATTTTGAAGAAAAAAACGAGAAAAAAGTTTTTGGCCCAGACGGGTTTTGAACCTGGTACCTTCGCCTTGTGAGCCTCTTACCTTACCTCCTGAGCTATCTGCGCTTGTTGATTATGGGTGTTTTCAAGTGGTTAAAGAGTAGCCGACAGTTGCAATGGTCGCAATACTTAAAATATTTTTGATACTACAGTATAGGCTATATGATTCCGTTAATCTGTTTAGGCCTCAAGTAGTTGAATTGTTTTTCTGGTAGTTGGAGAGGATACTGGTATTTGAATATAGATTATTTAATCACCATTAGATTAACACTGTAATAATTGATTGTTATATGATTAAAATTAGTTTTTTGTCGTTTTATTAATTTAAAGTTAGAATTAAATTCACATTCCACAACTATGATAGAACTCTAGTTTTCCTGAACTCAGTGGTAGTAATATGTCAGTAAAGTAAAGTCAACCCTTGCTAGCCATAGTATTAACAAGACATATTTTCAATCTGGGAAACCTTAAACTTTTAAAATAAATTATAAAACCTCAACATCTTAATGCCTGGGAATCTTATTTTTAGAAAAAAAAAACAGACCAAAATTATTTGTTAAATAATGAAGACGGCCCAATTATAAATTCGGAATTACTGAAAATAATTACATCAAGAACAACACTGTAACATATCCAAAATTCAAAAGATTAATTTTTCTAATATTATTTTTTATTTTTCCAATATCCTTTAAATCATCTGTTTTAACTTTGTTTAAAATTAATTTATTAAGTAAATATTTACTTTTTGTACTAGTGTAAACACAGCCTGAAGATGGAAACCAAGTTTCTGAAAGCACTAGTGAATAAAAAACAAATTATTATATATTGGCCTTGTTGAACATTTAAATTTAGATATACTGTACATTTCATCAGTGGTAGTATTTTTTTTCTTCAGTTTGTTACCGGGACATTACAGGATATCCAGTGGATTTTGTACATGTCCCGGGATGTCATGGGACATTCTGGGATATCCTATGGCATTCGTACATATCCCGGGACTTTACAGGATATCCTGAGGTTAACTTACAAATCCCGGGACATTACGGTATATTGTAGGATATCCTGTGGATTTCGTACTCGTCCCGGGATTTTGCGGGATATCCTGAGGATAGCGCACATATCCCGAGACATTCTCAGGACATATGGGACTACTATGGGATGTCCCTGGGATAAAGTGTGCTGTCTGGGTAAATATAGAAGAAACCCGGTATCTACAAATACTTACTTAAACTTACATTCTAAACCCTGACACGATTATTATAAACTCAACACACACACACACACACACACACACGCTATTTTTAAAGCGTTCTAAAAAATATACATTTTAATAGTTATGAAATTAATTTAATCACATTATATTCAGGTTCAGGTTGTACGTGCAACACACCTGAAGAAAGGCAGGGTGTGACTCATCAAGCTTAGTTTTTTCTAGCGCCATGGACTTCATCGGCCCAAAGGCAGCGATGTTGTGGGTTCATATCCTTGGTACCTGCCACAACTTTTCATTTTATTAGAGTACACTATTTCACCCTTGCTCTTGCTTGCTCTACCGGCTCACCTCAGCACTTGCTTTGCTGGATAGATTCAAAAGCTCCATTCATACTTGGATTAAAATACCTACTTTGTACGGCCGCCATTTGATATGAAAGTATTAAAGTATTAAGTATCAAATTATTGTAGTCCTTTTGAAATAATTTGAAGTAATCATAATCAATTATTTTTGACTGTTTCAGAAGATATAGAACATAAAGATAAAGAAATCTCGTCAGAAACAGCCTCACTACCTGGGAAATCTAAGAGTTTGAGGGTATAAAGGGTGGTGTAAAATACCTATATAGGTGTTAATAGGTACTCAAAGAGATGCAAGTATTTTAACAGCAATAAGCACTTTAAAAAATGTACGTCAACCCTTTCTCTGCTAGTACAGTATATTTAGAAGTAAATGTACGAGTAAATAAACAGTAAAAGGGAGAAAAACGCAGTATTCAATGTATAAAATGTATTAGTCCATAATATTGGTTTGGTCAACAGTAAAAAAATCTGATGTACATGTTTCTACAGTCTCTCTTAGACTAGACATTTACAAGCCATACTTATATCAACATTATCACTTATAAACTAAAGCATTGCATCCCTGTGTGTAAATGGTAATAATACAAGTTGAAAGACTTCTAGGTTAACTTACACTATTCAATCATATATGAACTGCAGGACTTGCTTCCAAAAAGAGATATTTGCTTTTGTAGCCAATTGTTTTTATCATGAAGACCAGATAGCTACTTGTCAGTAAAAAAATCTAAAAAGGCATTACATTATGTATTTAAGTGCCACCAATTTAGATATAGTTGGGGCTATAAAAAATTCAATGTGACTACTAAGCTAGCTTGGATAACTGTACACTTAATAAGACAGTTGACACTTAAAAAGCTAGTCTTAGAATGGACAAGTTTGGTAATTTCTCTAGCATCGACAACAAATAAAAATGAGCAAGTTATCTTACATACAAAAAATTACAAATACTTGTTATCTTGAAAAATATATACTTCTTAACTATGCACGGTAATATTCATAACCCTTTGAAAGACTGTTTTGACTTTTTTAAACTAGTAAACTACATTGCACACAAATCTTATAAACAAATCACAGCTTAAACTAGAATATATACAAAAATATTACAAACTTTCTTAAATATTGTAATAGATATACTTTAAGAACCGTGTCTTCAAATTAAAGTCCAGAAAAATTGTACATTGGTCTCAATAGCCTACCAGTACTGAAATTCTAGTTGTTTTTGTAGAAAAAAATGTTAAATAAAAATAAAGCCACAAAATAATTGTTTTCTTAAGAGAAGGATGAGTATACCAAATACTTTTTATCCTGCCACTTTCTCAAAGGTACTAGAAAGCAACTTGGAACAAGAAAAAAATGTGAATGCACATAATACTTTAAACACTTTTAAATAATTGGTTTCACAAAAAATATGCCTTGGCACTACTTGTAAAATGTTTCGTTGTCACCTAAAAACAAAACTTAAATATGAACAACAGTTTATCACTTAGACAAAAACATTTTCCTATGTTTTGGTTGAGCATTAGTACATGGTAGTTAAACATAAATGAACATAGTAGTTTAGGAAAAATATTCCAACAATTTTTGGTGTAATGTACCTATTATTCTGTGTATAAATAGATGTATTACACATTATTTTTCTACATTAACTATTTCACATTTCAACAATATTTTAGTTGTTGAGTAGACTTCCTCAAGTTTGAACAGATCAGGACAAAAAAGTATAATTCATCAAAAGTTGATACAAAAATGAATGAAACATTGTGTGTGAAATAGTTGTGCATAACAGATGTAAAACTAACAATAAAATACTTCTCCTTATCATATTGTATTTTAGAATATTGAACAGCACTACACAAACATCCTGTGATTGGTTTACATTGGACAAACGCAGTGTGTGTATGAGTAACAGATGCAGTTCGAGCAATCTGTCAAAACTGAACTTACCCTAAACTAGAAGAAGTCTACCATATGATTTAGCAAAGAGGTCGTATACTTATGGAGATCGTAACTCTATCGCTGCTTCCCTTATTTGGGAGGACAAAATTCGTAACAGACACTTCAAACTCAGATTTGGTCTTTGAAAGATGGATTATCCCTTTGGTCACTTTAGATAAACATGAGATTTCCACCCAGGCTCCAATTCTTGAGTGTTTGACCTTGCTGAGTTGAGATAAGATGACCTTAAGTTTGCCTTGGTACAGCATCACTTTGCAGACGAAGACGTCGGAAAAGCACGAGAGAAGAACGGAGTAGTGACGAGCTCTGGACAGGCTGAGTTCAGCTTTTCTGTGGAAGTCTGCAATATCCAGGGTTACTTGGCTGCCTGAAAACATATGTTGAGTTAAAAAAGAAAAGATACACCATTATTTTTTCAAATAAGCGTTTTTGGCACAGAGAAATGGTATGCAGTATTGAGTAACTTAAAACCCAGTGTATTCATGTCCACATGTAAAGATGAAAGCTTGTTGCTGTTTTCGTTTTCACCAAAAGAAATATACTGTATTTGTAATTGCCAGCACAATTTTGATTTCTGTTTCTATACCAATGGATTTTTTTTTCTTTTCAGGGAAATTTTAAAGTTCTGTCTTCTGCTCTATATAGGAACTATTGAATGGCCAAAACGATAGTGTTCTCTTATTGCTCCTGGCTTTAGGTCTGAATGATGGGCAAAACCAAATGAATACGAAAATCAAATGAAAATTCTATGTGTTTAAATTCTTATACTGTGGAAATTACAACTTTGGAGTAATAAAATTGCCCCATCTGAACAAAAAACTGTTCTTAAAAGTTCATAATAGTCTTGGACTGCAAACTTAAACCCGTCCAAACAAACTTGTAGATGTAGACTAATCAAATTTACAGTTACTTTATCATTGTTTATGCACACAGGTTCTTTCAGGGATATTTACACTCAAATAAATAACCCTAGTATAATATTTGCTCAAATGCGAGTACTTAATGAGAACTCAATAAAATATTTGTTGGTTTAGATTCTCATATGTACTAATTTTCATCAAAATAGAACAATTTGGTTTAAGTAAGGAGCTTCTTATCTTCACTTACCATTGAGTATGGTAACTAGATGAGCTTGTTCCAGATGTGTTGCCAAACTATCTATATCACCTCTCCATTCACACTTCTTATGTGGGCATCTAACTGGCAGAACACTAGAACAGAACATTTCAAAATAAGCATGATGATAAGCAAAGCAAAATAATTATTAATAATTTGTTCTCAACTAACTGAAAGACTTTGATTTTTATTTTCATATAGTTAAACTTGTCATTTTGCATGTGTTGAATTATTGCAACAATAAAAAGAACAAGTTTTTGTTCATAGTTCGTATACATAGTCCTGGATTTTTCAACAGAGACCAAACTTTTTCAAGGGTATGCTAAAGAAATCAAATATGTTTAGGATTTTTAAGGTTTAAGCAACTATGTTTTTAACGTTAGTCAACTGACTGAAGCTAAGAACGTAGTAGCTTACCAATTTTCTGGGTATTAAAAGCTTAAAAACTAGAACATGCAGTGCAGCCCATTTCATAGAAATGGTTTAAAGTCTTTGGATGGGGATGTGATATAGCTTGGAAATGTGTCGAAACACAGTGTTATTAAGAATATTGGAAATAGTATATTTCATTACTAGGACCGAAAGTGGCATTTTCCGTCGCGTGCTCAAATTTTTAGGGAACATTAATTCCACGTGCGAGGCGAAGCCGAGTATGTGAGAGTTATTTTCACGTACGAGGCGAAGCCGAGGACGGGAATAATGGAGCAAGTGCCGGATAATAACTTTCGGTACGAGTTATGAACGATACTTTTCATCACGACGCAAAAATACACAAACACAGAATAGCAGACCTCAGTAATATTGCAACTGTTTTACTTATCAATTAATTAGATTGAACATCAAAATAAAATAAAATCTTTTAAAAGGAAACCTAGGTTTATTTTTGATTAATTTTTAAAACAAAAAATAGGAGAAAATATTCTAAAGTTAGCCTACGTATATTTTTCAATAAATTTGGTTTAAACATTAAAATAAAAGAATAAAACAACTTTCAACCATACACACAGCTGATTCAAATCATTAAATTAAATCGTAACAAAACACTAGCTCGCGTAGTGAATAAGTGGAGAACTAATTGAGAGCGAGGGAAAGTAAATTTAGAGCGAGGGAAAATCAGCTGATCGATTTTCCCTCGCTCTAAATTCGAGCTTGGGAAACGACTACTTTCATCGATGTCAGCTGTTATCGAAAATAGTTACTTTCGTTACGGAGTGATGAAAATTGATGTTACAGACAGATTTTAATCACAATGTCATTGAAACATTGGGGCATGTTGTATTAAAACGTCTTAATGTAGATTAAAAGTTAGCACATATCAAAAGCTACCACATGACAGATTGAATAACCAGTATTGTCTGTACGATGGATCCTGTCTCCTGACCCTCCATTCATCTGGGGACTCGCCCGGACCTTAAACCTTAAACCATTGGCCAGTCCCCATCATATAGAAGGCAGGGGCCAAAGACATACAATATAAAAATGTTTAAGTCTATTGTAAGACTAGATTACTTATGTCAATAGCTCATTGAATTTCACTTCATGTTTCAGTACATGTTTCGACACATTGTCATCAACAGCTGAGTACTAGTGAAGTTTTTATTCACCATATGGTTTCGTCAATGTTCAATTAAATAAACACGTAACACAAATACGACACGACACGGAACATATACATTGATGCTGATTGATTGCTGATGATGACAATGTGTCGAAACATGAAGTGAAATTCAATGAGCTATTGACGTAAGTAATCTAGTCTTACAATAATATCTACAGCTCAGGGGCTTAACAATGAATTTAAGTCTATTTAGAACAATGAACATTATTTCATGTGAAAAATAATCTGAGATATTTTGTCTTACCTGCTGCGACAGGGAATGTCAAGTCTATACACGAGTCTTTGCAGGGCTAGATTAGGAACAAGTCCCGGCTCTGAGCGGCAGTATGGACACCTGTAAAGGAAATTTATGAATTATATAAGTACCTATAAACATGAAATAGCAAATTATGACGATTTAAGATTTATAACAGAGTAAATGTAGTGGCCACAACAGAATAAGGCTGATGCGAACTACTAATTTCTGTCGAGTGACCAAATTTTAACCAATCCAAACTTAAAGGCCAACTTATTGTAGATAGTATATTTTATACTGTAACAAACCAAAACCATGAGAAACGTTATTTTTTTTATTGTAGCAGACTCTACAAGTGGCTCATCAAATTTCCTTTTTAATGACAAATTGGCTACAGCTGTTGATATAGAAGGGATGTCTTTATAGTATCATGAAGCATTGACTCTTGGATATTGAAATAGATATCCCATCTATATGGATCAGCTTGCTACTATAGCCATGGACAATGTAACAGGGACTCCCTCTGGTCTGCATGATGGAACCTGTCTTCTGACCCTCCGTATACCTGCGGAATAAGTAATGGTTTAAGGCTCAAGCAAGTCCCGGATGGACGAAGGGTCAGAAGTCATTTTCCATCATACAGACTATATTAAGTACCAAACAAATTACATAGGCCTACCTAGGTAGTCGCTGAGCGCACGCCAGACATGCGATGTTGCCACACTCCACACACGACGTTACTCCTCGCCGTTCCTTGGCCGCTAGAGGCTCCAGGCAGATGGTACACTCCAGCAGCTGGGAGGACAGCTGAGCACAGTTCCAGCAACACCAAGTCCTGGAGTCGACCTCCCCTCCACAAACCGCCTTGCCGCAGTTGTTGCCATCACCATCTGGGGACAAAGGAATGAGTCAAAGCACGTCCAGAATTGACAAGAATATTGGTCTTCGAGATACCATCGTGTCGAAGTCCTCCCCCAAGGCTTAAGATTTCTAAAAGAATTAGTCTACTTACGGTTAGAATGAACAAAAATGCGTCCAGCTTGTAGCGTCGTAGCATGGCCTCCTCTAATACAAGACCACCGCGAGACAAAAGTGGCAACGCCGCACTTTCGGCCTACCGCAAGAGCTTTTGCACTAATTAGTGAAGCTTTCGTAGTGGAGATTCAGTACAATACTTATGTTAACACGTTTGTTATTGTTATTACCATGGCTATGCTGGCCGGTGTGACGTTGCCACACACCAACGTAGGGCCCGGGGCCTTGAGTTAGGTGAGGACATTGTCGTAGTAATCTCCCGACTCACTACATAGGAATTACATAGGCAATATAAAAGATTGAAATTGTTCCTTCTAAAACCTTCCAAACATTTGTTAAAACAACCTTGGTAAGTTTGGCTAAACTAGTTTCAGCCGTAATTGAGTGATAGTGTTAGAAAGATTGCATTGAAGCCGATCCCAAAGATAGAGCTTTGCTTCGCTCCGCTCAACAAATTTGTCACTGGGAGATCTCTCTTCGGGTGATTGTTGTTACTTGGTTGTTAAAGCTGATCAGTCACGTACACCCCCCACCCCTCCACCGTCACATTTACATTGTTGGTCTGGTCTGTGGAGATATGATCGGGAGACTCTCGCTAGTGTCAGAATACTCCCTCTTCGTTATATGATTGTTTTGTTGTATTTTAATCCGTATCGGATGAATAAGAGACTACTAATTATAGATTTAAAAATGATTCGAGACATACCATGAGTGAGTACAGTTTCAAGTGCAAACACAACTCTCTGTAAATATTGTCTTCATGTATACAAATTTTACCAATATTTGTTTATAAAAATATTGTTACAGTAGTATTAAATACTACTGTAACAATTGATATTATAAATTAATAAATAAATTAATTTATTGATATAAATTAATACACTTATAATTAAGTTTTATTGCACTTTTGCCGAGATCGATTTATTGGGGCCCCTAGATTCATGGAATCATAATTTTGATTCAGCTATACACCATCGATGAAAAATGTATAGTATTTTTACAAGTACCAAACTTAAAACTTATTTAAGAATTAAAAAGATTATTTGACCAAATAAACTCGAAAGCACTAAAAAAACCACGCGAATACCAAGAATTGCATTGCATTGCATTCATAGATGTATGTCGACGACAAGATAAAGAACTAAAAACCGACCTTTTATTTTACTTTACTCAACTTCTAGACAACCATTTCAAAGATAACAAAGGCGAAAATCGACCCTAATTGCACGACTCTTGAGCCTAGTATTGATTGTGCGGGAATGATTTACCCGGTCCGCGATGACTTTGAAAAGGGGAATCGTACGAGGATGGGGTGAGATTGAATGGGGTCGGGGTACAAGAGAGTCGTGTCCGCGAATAACTAGAACACGAAGCCCTTAAAATAAGACTTGTGTTTTCAATTTATCGAACTTCCCAACTTCCAAGACAGTTGTGGATCTATACTTTTATAGGTTACTGTTTTCACTTAAGAACATTGTTTCGCCTTGTCTTAAATAGAACGAATGCCACTAAATAAAAAATGTGGATTCCTTGTTTGTCAACATAAAATATAAGAATGTGAGGAATATCCACAATCTGCTATCAGTATAAGTTAACTACTTGACCTAGAACACTACATACTATTTTTTTTTCAATTTTTTTCGTCCTGTTGTTTTCAGCTACTGTGTTTCCCAATTTGTCTACTAATTATGTTATGCTCTAAGTTATTTCCTACTTGAAGATACAATCCGATCCCAAATCCCAAAACGTCGCGGGAACTAAATGATCTTCAAACAATGTCTAAATATCGACTCGACTGAAGAAAGTCCCTTACATATCCATTTATCGGCAATTCGAAGGCATACCCCGACGAATATTAACAATCCGTGATAGAAATGTACGCAACAATTCTTTAAACAACAAAATCCCAGACAACAAGAATATTGCTGACAAATGACCAAAAGAGTAGACTGTGGAGTTAACTGGAAAAAAATGACCATGAGTTCCTAAGTTCGCCTCAATAGAGAAGGATTTTAATTTAATTTCATTTCATTTCAAAAACATAATTCGTAAAATTTAGCAACAGTTAATGTTAAACTTAAAAAATCAATGGAAACAGTAATGAAAGATTGTTTTCTGAGAATTTGTTCAATACAGTTTTGACAGTACAGTACTTGACTTCGCATGACTTTCACTAATAGTTTAACTGTTTACAAGAAATAGTTATTTGTGTAACTAGTGGTGAAAGTGGCACTTTTCTGCACACGAGAGCAATGTTTACGCACGAGCCGCAGGCGAGTGCGGAATGATCTCGAGTGCAGCAAAGGCCTTTTTCACTCGTGTTACACATTATATTTTTCCTACAGTCACTATAAAGCATATAAATAATTAGTCTTTCAAACACTATACAAAGCTTTTTTAGGTTCAGCTGGCAACAAAAATGGTGCCCTAGAGAAAGTAGTACCCGCGGTCCGTATCACTCCGTTTTTTTCGTCGGCAAGAAATTTGCTACGCGTTTTGAGAATATAGTTCCGTATGTTTTAGTAATTTGAAGTGGTTTCCGCGCCTTAAAAAATGCTTAAAAGGTAGTTTTTTTGTTTATTAAGATCGTAGGAATATTTTAAAAACGTTTAAAAGAAAAGTCCAGAAAGTTCAGGAATACCGAAACTATAAACACGAAATGACAGGTTAAATCGTAGTTATAATTAGTCAATCAGCTGCTCATAGAATTATTATCTTTAAGTGTTGCCAACCTATTTCCAAGCGTACACGGATTACGTGCATAATAAAACCACGCTGTTTTGTGTTGTTTGGTTGGAATCCTGATGTGCGGCAAAGTATAAACCGTACGGCAAAGTATAAACCGTACGGCAAAGTATAAATATGCAGCAATTAGCAGCTTTCTGTACTATAAACAGTACAGGGAAGCCAACTTTGTCGGGTGACTGTAGGAAAAAGTTATTACAATTCGGTGAAAGTGTGTTTGACTACACGTAGTTCCTGTTAACTATGTACTCACACAAGACTACACCCACAGTTAGTGGAATTTTATGATTAACATTCCAAGTGTTTCTCCCTGTCGTCTAGAAATGCAGAACATAGTCTCTATAGTCTGTATGATGGAACCTGTCTCCCAACGCTCCATCTACATTGGACTAGTCCGGGTCTTGAACCATTGGCTGGCCTATCCCCAGGTCCTTACTTGGTAAGGAGACAGGATACATCATACAGACTATAATGTTAAACTGGTTTGGTTTGTACGTTATATACTTCGATGGTTTGTACAAGCATCGACAATAATATACTGTACTGCAAAGTAGCCTAGTCTTCTAAACTTAAAATCTGAAGCCTGTTTAATGCAAATTCGATGGTAAACTAAACTGTGTTAGTGTTACGTTTTACTAACTAAAGTTATGTTTTAAATTTAACTTCAGTATCATTGAGCTGGTATCGTTTAGATCAAAATTCTTTGATTCTATTTTCAGAGTGTAGAGCAAAACCATTAACAAATTTTTCGTTTTTAAGTAAAATAAAATAACAAGAAAAAATTCGTCAATGCCAAAATACACACTACATGCACCTAAACGAAACAACCCTAAAATCTAATTACATCTATACAGATAAAAAATACATTAAGAGTATGACCAATATGACTTTTGGAAACTGTTTAATCCATGGAAGGTCATCATTTGACCTCCAGGCACATACAATCAATGACGCATATTGACAAGTTAAATAAGATAAGATATACGCACAGTGCGAGTAAACTACTAGAGTGAGTAATAATCGTCAACGGTTTCATTTAGTTTCCAGTTCATTAAATAGTAATGCCCTCCGGGATGAACGAGTAGTTGCAGCAATACACAGCTGAGCAAGCCTAAATAAGCGATTTATATCAAGATCTATCACTTCAGCAACGTTTTGAAGTGTGTATATCCTGTATTTTATTGATGGTGCAATACGTTATGTGTATTGTGTATCGGTGGCAAAGACCTGTGACGTACCCCGGACGCCAGTGACTCATGGAATGCGTCTGTGACATCTATAATCAGCTGATGTGCGTACAGCCCCCCCCCCCTCTCCACAGCTGACAGCCAAACAAAGAACCGTCCAATGGATAGTTGGATACCCAAGAATGTTTTAACTACGGACGCCACGCTGGAATTATTCTTTGTGGGTAACACCACACCGACCAGCTGACGGTTTACCGTTTTAGAAAAACAATGGATCTTTGTCGCAGTGACACTGGAGAAGTTGTACAGCATTATTCCACGTATGGATATTGTATGTTGGTCGTGCGGTATTTCGAATACGGGAGAAAGTTTTTGCTTCGATTTTACATAAGGAATACGTGAAATGTTCAAGAAAAATATAAATTCCTACGTTTGATTGTTGTCGCTATTTTTAACGCCGTAATTCAAGAATAGATATATTATGCTTGTTTTTTAACAATATTTTTTCGTGAGGAAAGCTTAGGTCGAAAGGTACAAGTTTTCTTTGTATCACGTGCCTAGGATCTTTGTCAAAATCAATAATCTTACGTTTCGCCAAAAGTAAACGATTTTTGGGACAGTATTAAATCTAGGAAAAGTTAAACTGCATGAATATACTCTTATAAACTTGCACAATTAATTGTGTTGCTAGTGTAGTTGAAAATGTAGTTCTATACATTGTGTAGTATTGTATAGTAGGTATATCTGTGTCGTGTAGTTAGAAGATTTATGAGGTAATTACAAAAAAATTAGTTCACTTGTGGACCCAAAACTTTTAACTGTACTGTAGTAGCGTAGACTTGTCATTCTACTATAAAATCTAGGGCTATTTTCATGTGTTCCATTGTGTATTCCATATATTTCCATTGAGTTGACCGGTTACG